TATGGCAGCTGTGAAATGGGTCTGGCATGAAGATTAGAAATCCAGAAGCGGCCTGTTTTGCATCCCACCTCTGAATGACCTTCCCTAGCCCGCTACTTCCACCCAAGCCCCCCTTATAAACCTCTACAGTACACAAAACCACTAACCAACGTTCTCGGCAAAATCCATCACAAACAAAAGACCTTTACAAATTCCTTTGTAATATTCAGATTAGCCCTATTTTGATAATCTTTCACTTGATAGCTTTTCCATGCCCAACACTGAGAAATAAAATACAAAATGCTCATCTACTGAGCAACTTACTGCTTCTCTGAATATCTACTGCTGTCAGAGAACAAACACTTTTTCTTCAGAATTTAGCATTTTCTACCCTTCATTTACAACTTTTTCACTGCAGCGGTGCCAAAGCAATTGTGTTAGTGGACACAAAGAACTTTGCCCTTAAAAAAAATAAAATTAAAACATACAAAATTGGCTTTCAGAAGCAAATATTGCACAAACAGACCAACCAGAATGAATCCATCCTGTGAAACACATCTGTGGTTTCTAAACTGTCCGTACGCAGGAATAAAGGCAACCAGCTGTGTGCTAATACCTGTTAGTAATTGCAAATGGCTGGTTATTTTAATGCCTCCTGAGTATCCAGGTGTAAATGCCTAATGAAGGCAGCTTTTCTAAAACATAATTCTAATCAGTACTGCTATTGAATTATTTTTAAAGCAATTGAGAACAATTTCTGGAGAGCAGGTGGCCCAAACACCCTGTGCTTACACCGTTTTTCATTAAATTACAGTATTCTCAATGTATGCCATTTCATAAGAAGAAATTCTTTCACAAATTATCTTTTCTTCTGCTCTTAACTCTTAAAACATTCCTGTTGCAACTATAGTAATTGCTAATTTGATAAAGTAACTGTAATAAAAAATGCAATTTTAGCTACAGCATTGCTACTTCACAAAAAACCCCCAACCCTGTGATTTGCCTCCCACTGCCCACCATCACACAGCTATTCATAAAATTTATTAAAATGCATAACAGATATTGAAGAAAAGTTGAATGCAGGTTCCTACGGAAAGGAGCACAGAAAATAGATAAGTTTGTTAGGACAATCGCAATAATGAGCTGGGACACATTCACTTCATAATATAATAAACCCCATTAATTTATCAGCTTAATTTTTGTGGGGAGACTGTGGATTAAATTTAGTTCACCTCACAAATCTTTTTTTTCATCTGCAGTATAAACATCTACTACAAACAAGGCTTTTATTACAGAGATTTCATAAGGTTGACTAAAAATCTAGATGTAAGCAGTATTGTGTTTAACCAAGTGTTTTCCCCTGTGGCATAACATCAAAATGTCATCTTTTACAAAATTTTCTAACTTCTCTAACATTCTCTGAAGGAAAAAGTATTCTACCTATAAATAAAGAATAACTATAGTGTCATTGGCAGATAATTACAGACCATACACACATTAGGCATAGTGAAAAAAATCATATTTTAATATTGTTATTCTGCCCAAAGTAATAAATTCAGTGCAGAAAAGAAATACTTGCTTCAGATTCCAGCTACATCAATTCAGCAGAGAGAATAAATAAGCGTGCCAAAATTTTCATTATAATACTGTTACTCAAGATAAACAGAAAATGCAAACCAGATTTTGGCAAGGCTCCAATGTCATTATTTTGTCTTCAACGAATCCGCAAATTGGGCGGGGAGGGACCCATATGGACAGGTATCATGGTATTTTTGGCACAAGTAACTGACAAATATTTGAAGAGTTATTTAGTGATAATGCTAAACAGTAATACTTTACTCTTGAAGGGATACTGAAGCATCATTTCACTCAAGTGAAATATAAGCCATCAGCAAAGATTTAAAAAAATGCTCTATCTCAGTAGAATTTGGAGAATTTTGTCAAGCACACTTGAAAGCCTCTGTATCCTACCTCTGTATCTGCCTAAGAAGCGTTACTGGTGTTGTCTGGAGCATTTACAATGTTACTACACAGATTAAGATGTTGCTGCTTTACAAGCCAGGCATGAGGGTTACTGAGACTGGGGAATATCCCAATTTCACACCTGCAGCTACAACATTTACCGAGCGGTACAAAAATAGCAACGCTCGGATAGCACGAACTTAATTCTGCTAGATCAGGACA